TTTAGATTGCAGTATTGGCATTTCTGACCCAGCAGTCAGGATCATTTGTCTTAGAGCTTCACTTATAGGAACCCAATACCCTCTGCCTTGCTGTTTCCTTATAGCGTTTCACATACATAAAGGAAAGAATCAGGACACACAGCCTATTGGCTCTGTTTGACCCTTGGAAGGGCCTATGAAAGACGTTCAGTTACATAAAGTCGCACTGTGCTAGCACAAAGTATCCATGAAATCCAGAGGAAGAGCCTTGTTAGCTGAGAAGACCATATTATATGAACTCCACTAGAGTACTCTGCCTGCAAAATACAAATATATTTACACAACAATAAAAGAAGATTTAGAATCAAGAAGGTGGATATCAGTAGTCTGCTCAGCTTATTGGACAAGGTACTAGAAATCTGAGGTTTCACTTCTCAGGTAAGTTGCTAGGGTTGTTTTCTTTGTGGTTAAAATACAAACAAAACCTGACTGAATTAAGCCTATGATTTCCCTCCCCCATTTCTTTAACGAATAATACAGTAGATTAGATCTGAAGGAACTTTTGAATAGAACTCAAAAGGAACTTTTTAGGAAGCCAAAAGACATGTTCTGTTCTTTCTCTGGTCACAGAGAACTTGGCTGAAGTACCTGCACAACGCCAAATCTTTTCCATTCTGTACAGGCCTAAAGACTGTAAGGCAATCTGAGGTACAGGATCTCAGGATAAATCCTGAGGGGATTTCACTGACCTTATCAGACCCAAAAGCTACAACTCTTGTTGCATAGGTCCTGCTTTACCTTGGTCTTAACCATCCAGTAGGAAAGTATAAAAACAAAATATAAGAAGTAAAGCCATGCTGTTAAGTTGAGCTGTAGGGGACTCAGATCAACAATTTCTGACATTGCCAGTGAAGCAGAAGACCCAATACTATTATGGACTACTGGATCCTTTTAGAATATTTTGCTGAGTTAACACACCTATAATAGTCAAATAACGGAACTTAACAAAAAAAGGGGATACAGATGAATGTCCATTTTGTATCTGTGTATTCAAAATGGTTAGGATAGATACATAGTTACATTCTCCTAATAGAGGGATTTGTTGTAATAGTGTTTGTAAGTAGGATATCATGTCTGCATCTTGTACAGCAATTAACCACTAGGAAGAATGCATGCAATGTGTTAATTAGTGAAACTGTCCTACCTATTTGGTTTGAAACTGTCTGATTGCTATTTGTTTCTCAATAAAATTATGGGGAAAAAAAGACTGTAAGGCAATAGTATACCACATATGGTCCTTTACCTTTCCTAAATGCAAAGACTATAGCAAGTTGTTGTCTGATCCTGGCTTCAGAAAGCTGAAGCATGGTAAGAAAGACTGAGCTTTTAGCTGTAAAAGGCTCAAGCCAATAACTTCTGAGGATAACCCACTAATATTATAGACTGCTAGACAGTCTTAAATTGTTTAGTGGAATTCAAACACCTATAGTATTTAGATGCCAATAGAATATTCACCTCTGACAGACAATTAAAAAAAAATGATACAAAGGAAAAAAAAAAAGACTGAGCTTTTCACAGCAAAAAGCTGTCTCAGCTCTTTTCTGTCACAGGGTCATCAGACTCTGTGCCCACATAGCCCTCAGCCTTCTCATTCCTAAGTGATTTCCTTCTGTCTCATTAATGCCCGCAGTCCCACAGCCTGATGGTTCAGATAAACTGTGTGTGACATCTTGGCAGTTCTATCACTTCTTTGTAGGAAGGTCAAGTCATCCTTTGAAACATCTGAAGGACATAGAGAGATTACCACTGCATACATATTTAGAAGATAAAGCGGACCACAAGACAAAACTCCTTAGTGTGTACACGTAGCCTTCTACTATTAGACTCCACTGACTTACTCAGGGTCTATGGCCTGATTAACCTATTACTCTCTTCTTGCATGGATCACTGTGTAGACTCCATGGACTCCAAGCCTTGGCACATGCTGTTCTCTCTGTCCTTCCTCACTTTCTCTGGCAGAAACCCCATAATCCACTGCAGCTTCTCAGTAAACCAGTTTCCAACAACTCCAGGAAATTTTTGTCACTCCCTTCTCTGTGCTTTTGTAGGCCTTGACTCATGTGTCTGTAAGAACTCTAGGTGTTAGACTTCAGGGTCAAAATCCTGTCTCAGTTATCTAGTGACTAACACAGCTTATGGCAGAGAGGATGCATTTCTTGAATGGATGAATTAATGAATGATCACTGCCTATGCTGATTTGTTTTACTGTCAAAGTAACTTAACAATGCTGCTTTCAGTATGAGAATTTGTTTGATAAGTAATAGGAGGAAGAGAGTGAAAGTAATAATTGCAATGTTCTTAGAAAACTGTAGGTTATTTCAAACTTACCCAAAGAAGAGAAGGAAAAAAAAAAAAATCTCTAAACCAGAATGTTAGTTTACAACAACTAAGAACAAATGTGTTTATAAACTCATTTGCATTTCCACTTCTCTCAATAGAGTATAACAGAAAGATGGTACACAAACATCATGTGTAGAATTGGCACCAGAACAGGTCTTTAGAAAGGTCAAAGGATGGCTGAAGGTGCAGCAGTAGAGTGCTTCCATGCACAAGGCTCTGGTTCGATCTCCAGGACCACAAAAAAAAAAAAAAAAAAAAAAAAACAAAAACGATCAAAATAACTGATGTTGACAGTTGAAAGAGATCTCTTAGCTATCCAGTTTAATTCACTACTAAGTATAAATTTCTATAACATCCCTCATAAATGGTGAACACTTTCCAGTGTTGGGGAGCTCATTACTTAAGAAGCTACTTGATCCTCTACTTGGGTGATTATGAAGTCCAAATTGAGCCTAAATATTCCTCTTTGTAATGTTAACCATTGAGCCAGGCCCCTTTTGCTTAAATCACAAAGAATACTTCATCTTTAAGATAGTCCTATAAATAATGAAATACAGCTATGTCATCCCAAGACTTTTTTTCTTATTTTTTTTCAAATTTATTCAACCACTTCTCATATGTGATGTTTTCCCACATTTTCACCAAACTAATTTCTATTTTCAGGAGACGTTCTAGCTTCTTTCTAATGCTTCTAGAATGGAGCCTGGCATGGACTCCAAATAAGAGCAGGCCATGTAGAGAAAAGGCTAACACAGGTATCTCTCATTCTAGTCTACTCAAACTTGTCCTGCCATTTATTTGAGGTACAGTTGTACCTTGGTTGTGGCTAGCAGAGAGAAGATGACATAAAGCTTGGGTGGGACCAGAGCCGGGAGAGCTGACCCAATCCTGGAAATAACTGTGTTGTTGAGAAGTAAAATATACCCTTACCATATCTAGGATATTCACGGGATTTTGTTGATAGGTGGGAAGTGGACTGTAGCCGTACTTGTAATCAGACAGGTGACTGCACTATTTTCTATTTGGCTGCTACTGGCTGCATTATTCTTCTATTTCATTTTGGAACAGGTGCTCAATCATCAATTGGAGAAAAAGAGAATCAGGACCTAACCATTGGGTAAGGAGGTTGCAAAGTGGTAGGCAAAATAAAGTCAAGAACACTGAGGGTCAAAGAAGGGTTGTATTTTAATGGGGAAATAAGAATCAAAGTGATTCTGGAATCATGGAGATGCTCACTGAATTCCATCATCTCTACTTTCCAAGCCTCAACTACCTCAAGTGAAAATGAGGATAAGAGACCAAACGTGGTGGTGTATGCCAGTGATCCCAGCACTGGGGAGGCTGAAAACAGGAGAATCACTATGAGTCTGAACTGCGTAGTAAGATCCTGTACCAAATATATTTGTTTTTTTAAATGAGTATATAGAGCCAGCCAAATAGTTCAGCGGATTAAAGCGTTTGCTTAGGCAGACGCAGGGTCTAGGAGTTCAATACCCAGGCCTGCCATGCCAGCCTCACCCCTGGGGTGTGGTGTGATGGTGATTGAGATTGGCTGTGGTGGTGTGCACCTATAATCCCAGCTTTTGGGAGGCTTTAAGTAGGAGGATCACTAGGAGTTGGAAATACACAGCGAGACCCTGTACACCCTGTACACCCTGTCCTAAATACAAAAAAAAAAAAGGATAATAAGACTGGTGTGATGATACATAACTGTAATCCCAGGACAAGGGAGGCTGAGGCAGGAAGAATAGGAGTTCATGGCAAGCCTGAGCTATATAGCAAGAGCGCATTTCAAGAAAAATAAATGAACTGCATCTTGTACTATGAATAACTACAACAACAATATACAACAATATACAATGTGTTGATTATTGTAACTGTCCTGCTAACCTGTTTTGAAATTGTCTCATTGCTACTTCTTTCTCCATAAAATTAATATAATAAATAAATAAAAGAAAAAAATAAATGAAGATAATATTATGCATTTTATAGGACTTATAGGACTTCTATAAAGAATTCATGTGGTGATATATGAAATATATGTAACACTTGATAAATATTGCAACTACCCACTAAAAGGCATGATAAAAATGAAAATTAAATGATTTTTATATAGCTTTACTTTTGAAACTTTCAAAATTATGTACTAAAAGCGTATTCAAATATTTTTAGTACTTAACAAAAACATTCACTTAAAAATATTAGAAGTAATATATAGGGGCCGGGGAGATAGCTCAGTAGAATAAGCGCTTGCCTGGCAAGCGCAAAGGCCTGAGTTCAATCCCCAGTTCCGCAAAAAAAAAAAAAAAAAGTGATATTGGTTGGAGATGCTTTGCAAAACTATCATAGCATACATGCCTCATTATCAAAATAATTGTACCAATAATGTGATTATAAGAAATTTCCATCTCAGATTTTATTTTAAAAAATAGTAACTTTTTCTTACACTTTTAGAATCAGAATTTGAAATGTGCATTCAACATCATAAGAAAATCAGTACTTTTCTTATTGGTACAACTCAATATTTTTAGAACTCTGCTAATCCTGTTATCTGACACCTTGATGTTTGGTTATTATCCAATTATCAAAATCTTTAGAGGAACGGCCACCACCCAGTGGGGGTGTGCTGCTGTCTCGGCCCTGTGGTTGAGATCCAGAGATTGGGAGTAACATTATCCCTTAACAAGCAACAGCTTCTTGGTGAGCAGAAGGCCTGCTTATAAAAGACGTACCTGATGGGACTGCAAAACAGCTCTTTGGTTCTCTCAAGTTTATTCCACGTCAACACAGCATCAGCTGCGGGGACATCAGAAGGAGGCCCTTGTCTGAAGTCATTGTATGGTAATTTGTCTTCAGTTTTTTTCCTTTAAATTTCACAAGATTTTTTCAAATAGGCAAGTATTTAACATGTATCATTTTCTGCAAATATCATGCTGCTTATTCATGATAAACTGTTAAGGGAAGCTAGATTAAATTCAACATAAGAAAAAGGCTAAACTTAAGCACAGGAAAGACTCATTTTTATGATTAAACCCTTTTGAGACACTTGGACTTACGAAGCACATCTGGAAATTACAGAAAAATGATAAGCATTTAGTATATGATTTATTAGTCTTTTAATGTAAATTTTAAAGGAAAAGAGGATAGTGATAGTTTTGATGTAAATTATATAAACTTGTTAAATAATTTTCTATTTTTTCCCACAGAATGTCCTTACCTAGATGTTTGTTGTATGGCTCACAGAGAGCTGTATATCCTGAGGTTGGAGATCTCCCACTGATTGCTAAACATGCATTGCCTGTACATAAAGGACAACCTCTGTTAGTTTTCTTTTCTGAAAATTGTACATGAACTTTAAAGATGGTAAAATGTCTTTTGTGGGGGATCTGTCTCACAGACATCCTCAAAGAAGTCTATGTCCTTTGTAAGAACCAAGAAATGAAGCAGAGCTGTACAGGCTAAACAGAACAAGCCAGGATGGGACACCAGCACTCCTGTTTCTCAGTGGTTCTTTCTAACATAACCCAAAAAGGAAATGTTTTGTTGTTGTTCTATCCATATCTTTATATTATACAGTGAAAAATGCAGTGGATTATAATCTGCCTTATGCTACTTCTAAATGATGCAATTTCTCTTTAAAACAGGAGAACATAGCCATTGTGTTCACTCAAGATACAACATAGGAAAAAAAAAGATACAACATAGAGCACTTAGAAAATGTGCTTTTCTCTTAATAGCGTTTGCAATTTTTTTTCCTTTTTTTTTTATGTATTTAGGACAGGGTCTACAGGGTCTCACTACGTAGATCAGACTCATAGTGCTCCTGTTTTCAGTCTCCCAAGTGCTGGGATTACAGGCATGCACTTCCCTGCCCAGTCTCAATCGCTGTCTCAGTGTGCCACGGGGGCAGGGCTGGTATGGCAGGCTAGGGTTCCAACCCCAGCCACTGCACTCTGCCTAAGCCGGCGCTTTAGTCTGCTGAACTATTCAGCCAGCCCAACAGCCTTTGCAATTATTGAAATGCAGATTGTAGGAAAAATATTCCATATTTATATAAAAAGCTTTGTGAGCAAAAGAAGAACTAAAACTTGCATATACTAAAATTATATGTATGCTAATACAATAAGTTGAACAAATAAGATGCAGCCAAAACTCAAAACGCATATCACAGGGCTGGGAAACAGCTCAGTGGCATAAGCGCCTGCCTTGCATGAGAAAGGTCCCGAGTTCAATCCCAGGTACCTTTAGAAAAAAATGCATCTCACAAATAAGTAGATGCTTTACAAGTGTTTTGGTACATATTTTTAATGCTAGGAGAAGTGAGCACTTATTCAGTAAAACCTCAAAATCAAACAATAACTCAATAAGCAGTAACAACAATTTAACCCATTAAGGCTAGTTAATTTTAAACCTCTTTCAACCATATATGAATAAACAACATAAGATATAGAAGAAAATTCTCAAAAGAAAGTTTCTGTATTCCTCAAGTGGCTCAAAATTCATGAAGTAAGTCTTGCATAAGAACTCTCAAGTAGGTATCTAAGACAGGAAAAGTCAGTGTTAGCTGGATACTATTCTAGCGCATGTCTCTAATCCCAGCACTCTAGGAGCCAGAGATAAGAGGATCACAAGTTCAATCACAGCCTGGGCAATTTAGAGACCTAGTGAGCTCTTGCCTTAATTTTTTTTTTTCTTTTTAAATCTTGAGCGTATATCTCACTGTGTCAATGTGAAGGCTTTGAGTTAAATCTCCAGTCCTGAAGGAAAAGTTATCTTCCTAGTTTCTCAAAGAAGATGTGTGTATAATGTTATAATGTTTCCATAATATGAAGGGGCTGATTCCGGAAGCCTCTCTTGAAAACTAACCCAATTAATCGCTGTCACATTTTGGTATTGGCTCTATGGTTATAAATGAAAACTACTGTATTTCTGTAGTTTGGAACCCTAAAATTTTCTTTTCTTTTCAGTGAAGATGTTGTCTGCAAAAGACATAGCTAAAGTCACCATTGTCCTGCTTGCAATTTGTTTCCTTACAACCACAAATGGGAAACCTATTAAGTAAGTACAAGTACTGGAGCCTGTTCTGTGTAGTGAATAAAGGCATAGAATTGGGTTTGAAGGTTGGCTTTACATTTTGGTGGTGGAAAGCTAACGGAGTGGTCCTCTCTGCCTCTGTTCTCCCTAGGAAGAGATCTGTGGGTGAGATACAGCTTATGCATGACTTGGCCAAACATCTGGCAGAGAAGGCAAGGTTGGAGTGGCTGATTCAGCAGATAAAAGAAGCGCACAGTTTTGTCAGCCCTGGAAACTCCCACACTATGAAAGAAGGTTCTCAGAAGTCCTTCAAGAAGAAGGACAATGTCCTTGTTGACAGCTATCGTAAAAGTCTTGGAGAAGCAGACAAAGCTGATGTGGATGTACTAACGAAAGCTAAATCCCAGTGAATAAAGATGTGATCAGGGTACTGCTTCAGGTAGTATAGGACAACAATATTAAATGCTGCTTACTTTTCTAACCTCTAAGACTATCAAGTGCCAGTATTTCTAATATTACCAAGCTTTGCATGTAATTCGTTATTAGGCGTAATGGCTGCAATTTGAATTGATTACTTTGTTCCACTTGTATTCATTTAAGAGCTTTTAAATCTACTTTGTTTATTCTTTTTAAAGTATGTTATTACATAACTTATAAAAGAATAAATTATACCTTTTACCTCTCTGTCATTACAAAGCAAAATAAAACTTTAGTGATCATTGATCTAAGTGAAGTGTTTCTTACTTTTTAAAAGCTTGTCTTTTGGTTATGAGGAACACGCAAATGTTTATATGGACATGAATAGATAGAATAACACAATTTTTTAATCATATGTTTCAGTTTTAAGTTTGGATTATAATCCGTTTCTAATACCAAAGTACTAGTTCCTGACTCCTCCCTAGCCAGATACCGCTGTTCTATTCTTCTTAGAAAAGAAAACAAAATATTCAGGAAAAATGCAGAAAGTAGTCTAAAACTTGACTGTAAAAGTATTTGGGTCCACATAAACTCGCAGATGACATCTCTACCCTGAACCATGAATTGCAAAGAATATGAGCCAGGTGTGGTGGCATACACCTATCACCCCGGCATTCTGGGAGGATGAGGCAGGAGGGTCAAAAGTTTAAGACAGCCCAGGCAAATTAGCCAGACCCGACCTCAAAATAAAATAACATAACATAAAGCAAGGAGGGCTGGGGTATAGCTCAATGTGAAGGCCCTGAAGTCAGTCCTCACTACCATACAAAAAAATCACAAGGAGTAGAATTGTAGTACTTATTTATTCTTTACTTAGTTACGGCATGTGGCCCTAAGAACTTATTTCCATCATATTACACTGCAGAAACCGGCTCACTACTCTCAAACCACCATTCTTTCCCAGCATCTCTTGGAACCTGAGACACAAAGCCCTTCAGTGCGTCACTACCTTCTTCCTTACCTACGACTTTACAGCATCGTGTGGTTACAGTCCTTCCCCCAAATCCATTTCACCAAACTGCTATTCCTGATAGGGACTACCTTTCCTGAATTACCAGAACCAGTTGATAAAGACCACTAGTATTTTATTCACTACTGGGAAATACTATTGAGTGCCCATTATTGGTGATATTCCACTTGCTTGTGGAATGACACTGGTCTGTCTTCATGGAGCCTGCAAATTTAGGCATTAGACAGCAGGCATTATTAGCTTTTGCTTGTTTTGGGGAATGGAACTTGGGACCTCGTGCTTGGCAGGCAGGCAGGCACTGGGCCACCGCACTATTATTGTTAGCTTGGATGAGTGCAGTTGCCTTCTGTGTGTGTGTGTGTGTGTGTCTTTTATTTTATTTTTTTTCTTTTTTTTTTTTGGTTGAATTGTATTTTAGGTGAGGTTTAGATTTTGGTTTTGGCACCAAGGACTGAATCCAAGGCTTGCAGCTTGCTAGGCAAGCATTCTACCACTGAGCTAAATCCCCAACCTCTTGATGAGTGTTATATAGGAAAAATACAACATGGAGCCCTCCTCTATTCAGGTCAGTGTTGGCTGATCACAGAACTTTCTGTGGTGACAAGGTGTTCTGCAGTTTGTGTTGTTCTCTATAGGAAACAGATGCATTTATCTAAAATGTGGCCAGTGGAACTGACAATTTTATGTTTCCATTTAAATAGCTACAAATGTATAGTGCCCATTACACTGAAGAGTGTAAATCATCATGAGGATGATTTTTGAATCAAAGCAATGAGTTAAAAGGATGAAAAGGAACAGGTGAGCCTGCCAAGCATGTTGGCACAACATCTGTTAAGGCCTTGAGTTGGGAGGGAGCATGACTCACCAACGAGCAAGACCGCATGCCTGGCTTCAAGGAGTTCAGGCCCCAGTGAGGAAGACAGAGGTAGGCAAAGAATTCCACTACACACAACAAAGTCTGTGGGACACACAGAGGGAGAAATTAATCTGTCTGATCCAAATGGGGCTTTGATGGCAAATCAACTTTGTAAAATGCAGAAGAGATGACTGGATGAATTTCTGCCCTCCTGGTGAAATCCATCAGCCTGTGGTTTAAATTCAGAGAACTGAATCTAAAAGGGTATGTTTCTGAATCACTGACCCTGCTGAAGAAAACAAGGCTCTAGATGGCAGCTTGAGGAAAGACCCTCAGGGCCACCAAGGGACTGACTGGTTCACTCTCCTTTTCTCAGTAGTTACCAGAACATCACTATCCCAAGACCGCCCCATCAGGGGGCAGTTGCTTACTGCTTCTGCCCTAGAAACACACCGGCCTTGCTGCCACCTCCCCTAGCATGCACAGATATCCACCATTCAGCCTCCTGGCATCCAGCCAATGACTCATAGTTGTCTTTGCTAACATCAGCATGGTGATACCCAGCTGGTACAGAAAGAAGCAGTGGCAGAAGAGTGTTACTTCTGCCTCTCCAGGAGTGTATACAATTGGCTGAATCTACATCAATTAAAAACTCAGCTGACGAGATGTCCGGAAAGGCTATGATTAGCTCTTCAGTCTATGTTAGACAGGAGCGTGCCCTGGAGGGTGACATGGATGTGACCCTCCAGTTTCCTGGTAGCACAAGTGCCACAGTGAGTGGTCTGGTGCAGATGCCTTATGGAGCTGGGGAGGAACTTCTTTGGAATGCTTATCGAGGGGCAGAACCCGCAGGCAGGACCAAGTTTCATAAGATTGCTTCTGGAGCAGAAGAGGAGGCTATGTACCTACCAGCAAAGTAAAATATTCCTGTCCCTTATTTCTACCTCCAGTTTGAAATTATGTAATTATATCTTTAGAAGAGGTGTCACCATATTGATGTCGGGTAGTAGTTCCTTGCTTTAATTTGCATATCCCTGGTGGGCTTGAACTTTGCTTTGCATATCAGTCATATGGTTTCTTTATTTCTGAATTATTTATTTATATTTATACGTTTGGTACAGGATCTCCTTATGCATCTTGGACTCATAGTAATCCTCTTGCATCAGCCTCCCTGTCACTGGGATTACAGGCATGCTTCACCAGGTCCGGTTTTGGGGCCAAACAGCATACTGCATCAGGGATCAAACTCAGGTCCTTGTACTTGCCAGGCAGGCACTTAGACCACTGAGCTAATTCCCCAGCCCCATGAATGATTTATTTGTATCCTTTGCCAATCTTTTGTATTAGTTTCCAGGGCCTGGGGACTTGACTTTGAACTTTTTGTTTATTTTTTGTTCCTGATCTTTTTTTGTTTTGTTGTTGTTATTTATTTATTTATTTATTTTTAGTCTTATTGAAACATGATTTCCCTCCCTTGAATTCACTTTGTAGCCCCAGCTGGCTCAAACTTGAAGCAATCCTCCTGCCTTAGCCTAGGGAGTGCTGGGATTTCGGTCATGTGCCACTATGCCCAGCAACATGGAGCTTTTTGGGTATTCATTGCATTAACAAATTCCTTGTTGGTTGCAAGTCTCACAGATATTTTTATCCTGGTGTCTCAGGAAGTTTTAACTGTTTTTATGATTACACTTTTTTTTTTTTTCAGATAGTCTCATTTTGTTGCCCATGTTGACTGCAAACTCCTGGGCTTAACCGATCTTCTTGCTTCAGCCTTTGAAGTGCTTGGACGAGTGCTTGGAAGAGAGACACACGCCATCTGTGCCTGGTTTGTATGATTAATTTTGATGTACTCAAATATATCTCATTGTTTGTCCCTTGGTCTTTTCATGAACCTGGTCACAGTTATCTCTTACACCTGCTGTATGTTTATTTTCAGGTATCAACATTCTGTGTGTGTGTGTGTGTGTGTGTGTGTGTGTGTGTGTGCACGCACGCATGTGTGTGTATGTCCCCCTCCCTGCTCCCCCCTCTGTCCTCACTATGTAATTATTTTTGGCCTTGAACTCACTACATAATCTAGGCTGGCCTCAAACTCTGAGTAATCCTCCTACCTCAGCCTCCTCAGTGCTAGGATTGCAGGTGTGTTAGCACACCTGACCTCAGCTATTGATTCTTGAGAAATATAATTTTGTGTTTAATGTTATGGTCAGATTTTATTTTTTTTTTTTTCTTCCAGTTTTACAAAGACAACCAGCTCGCTGAAGCCCCATGAAGGACCTAGGAAGTCCTTTGAAGTGTGTGCCCTAGCCCCCAGCCAATGCCACCACCACTGGGCCCTAGAACTGGTGTGAGAAGGATCCCTGGAGCCACATGCCCTGGGACTGGCCCTGGGGTTCTCCATAGCACAGGGCAACAGAGTTCACACCTGTTATAGTTTGTGTGCATTTGTCCCCCCAAAGCCTCATGCAGTCCTTGAGGCACAGCTCTACAGTTTGTGATTAATTCATGATCCAAGGCTGGGATTATGGGTCTGAGTACTGCTGGGATTATGGGTGTGAGTGCTACATGCAGCCTGGGGCAGAGAGCCTGAATGTAACACAAGAGAGATAGAGACAGACTTCCTCTCTGTTGCTGTTGCTGCTGCTACTCCTCCCATTTGTTCTTGCTCTTTGCCGCCACAATGAACTGCTACCCTCGCCATGTGCCAGTCTGCCTTGGAGCCAGCCTCCATTAGCTGTGAGCTAAATAAACCCTTCCTTCCTTCATTTTGGGTGTCAGGTATTTGTCCCATCAACAAAAGAAGAGTAACTGAGACAACAACCAACAGACCAAACTGATTGAAGAAGAGACCTATGCCCAGGAGGAGAGATTCACTTCAGGATGGAAGCCACACCCTTCCACGGAGTCCTGGTAAGAGACAACCTTGGGAGATGGTCTTGGAGAGGGTGAGAGTTAAAATAAGAATCTCCATGGATCCTCTGCATGGTCCTGGCTCAGAAAAGGAAGATCTTAGGGTCTGTATTCTGTTGTAGGAGGCCAGGCTTATTGGAAGTACTCATCAAAGAGAGGGCTGTGCTGAAGGAGCCAGTCTAGTGGTATGTTTGAGC